AGGAAAAAGGGGGAAAAGGGGAAAAGCAGAAAAGGGGAAAAGGGGGAAAAGGGGGGAAGGAGGGAAGGGGAAAAGGAGGAAAAAGGAGGAAAAAGGGGGGGAAAGGGGGGAAAAGGGGGAAAGGGGGGAAAGGGCAAAAAGAGGGAAGAGTGGGACAAAAATCTTCATGTCCCCAGGGGCTACATGCAGGAGTTTTCTGGAAAATTCCTCAATGGAAAGCTCATTCCAGGGCCTGAACACCTTTTCCAAGGAATTTCCCAATATCCAACCTCAACCCCTCCTGCTGCACCCTGAGGCCGTTTTTCCTCTTTTCCCATTTTTTATTCCTAGGAAAGGTGACGGATGCCTGGAAATGCCGCTGATGGCAGCGGAGAGGCTCCGAGGGATGAGAAAAAACGTAATTCCAACATTTCCTCGATTCCTGTTTTTAATCCCCAGAAACCTCCATCAGGAAGAAAACCACCACAAAAACTTGTGGTTGTCCACGAAATAGTCAGAAAATCCCATCCAAGCCACACTTGGGGATAATTTTGATGATCCCGATGGAGCAGCTTTGGGATTCAGCCTCTCCAGCCTGTCCAGATTTGGGAATTTTAATTCTATATTTGGATAATTCCCACATCAGGGATTTGGGATTGTTGTGGTTCCCATGTTCCTTTCCCACCACGGATGGGCCTTTCCTGAAATCCCAAAAAAAGCCAATCCTGAAGGAAAACGCACTTCCAAATCCTAAATTTTTCACCCCATTCCATCTTCCAAGCTTGGCCTCAGAGGATCCCAAGGCCTGGAAGCTCAGAGCCGGCATTTTCCCGGGGCAGAAAAGTCAGAGAATTCCGGATCCTTCCCAGGTAAAAACGCAAAAAACCACTGGAACGAGGCCCTGTTTTAGGAGGATCCCATTTTAGAGGTTTTGTGTTTGGATAAAATGGGAATTCTGGCTCCCTGCCAAGTCTGGGAAGGCTTTTCCCTCCCAAAAAACCCACCAGGGAATGGGGGAGCTTCAAAAAATTCCGGGATCGTTCCCACTCCTTCCTGCCTTTTCCCTCCTCCTTTCTTTGGAGCGAGTTCAGTGCTGGAAAATCTCMTTTTTCCAGCTTTTTTCCCCTCCCCTCCTCCTTCCCTCCCCCCCAACTCAATTCCTGATGCAAATTTATGCAAATCAGGCGGCGCCTGCTCCCAGCCAGGGATAATAAAGGAGAGGTAGGAAAAGAGGGAGGAATCCCGGCGCGGGAGGGCTGGGAAATGCTTTGTTCYGTGGAAGAAGGGCGGATGGATTTTCCCGTTTACGGCAAGGTTGGGTTTAATTAAATTGGTGTTTTCCACGCTTTTAATGAGCTCCAGGGGGCTCCTTCCCAAGGGACTGGGGTTGGGAGGGAAAAGGGGGACGCAGCAGTGGGATCCGGCTCATCCCGATCCCGGCAGGGCTTGGCTGAGGGTGGAAAGGGCCAAATTGGGACAAATCCATGGGAAATGCATTTTTTSCTGGGAAATTCAGGCATTATTCCCACTAAAACTTCATATTCCCAAAAATGGCAACTTTGGAGAATGCCAACATTTCCAAATCCACCATATTCCCAAAAAGGCCCCATTTGGAGAATGTGAACATTTCCAAATACATCATATTTCCAAAACCGCAACGTTTGGAGGATGTGAACATTCCCAAGGATCTCTTGGGAAGAGCACGGAG